GTTGAGCGCGAAAAACGATATGCAAATTGATGTATATCGTCTTCGTCAGACTCAGTGGCAACCCACGGTAATAGGCATCTCTCAAATAATTTGAGCATGACTGACGTGCAGGCGATGGGACGATACTTCCCAGGTTCCTTTTTTGGAACGGAAGTTATCTTGGCCAGTCTCCAAATATCAGGGGTTTTTCCGCTTGTCAGACAGTCATTGAATATTTTAGACACTGTGGCTGAAAGAGTGTCCTCGCATACCTTGAGTACCACGGGCGATGCTTTATTCAACTTTGTTTTCAGTAGCTGTTGAAGGACTGGCAGGTTCTATAGTTGATGTTGGCGTAAAGCTAAGTCTGTGAAATTGGACTAAACTCAGAATTTAGTCTTTCAACGTCGACAGTTTCCTTTTTGTGTTTATTGCTACTGCCACACAGTCGGTTGATAGCCTTCCACATGCCACGATAACTAGGTTTTCCCAGGATAGTGTCGATTTACCACTTGTTCAACCGATTTATTTCAGCTTAGATCGAAATTGTTAGCCGCTCGACATGGATTCTTTGTCATTGTTTATGGGCCTTTTCTTTCCGCTTGCGTAGCTGCTTGAGTAACGGTGATGAATATCTGTCTTTATGGATGAAGACCGTTTCCAGTGGACAACACTGATTAACACAGAAATTAAGGTAGTCCGTGACATGTTCACAGAGGACAGAAGAGTTCTGATTGGGAAACACCAAAAAAAGCTGTGGTGGCAGTCATGGATGTTAGCCTCTTTAGGTTCTCTAATGAACAAGTTCTTTGACTCACTATCTTGGAAGGCCTTCTTAAAAACGTGTACCGGTTAGTTTTGCTGTATACAGTGGGACATACTTTTAGGATACAATGATCAGAACTGCTCAGAGGAGCACATTTCTGCACTTCAAAAAATTGTAGTCTGTTTGTAAAATCTAAATCAAGTGGTGAATTGAGTCTGGTCGGAAAATGTACCAAATTTTGTAGACACAGTGTGGTGAGGAATGTTACATCATGTCTGTTGAAATCACCAAAACATATACACAGAGTCACTTGTTTTTGATATTATGGAGGTGAAAAAATATCAGAAAAGCTATGTATGTCAGGCACTGTAATTGTTGATGACAGGTAAAAGTGTCCAAGAAGTATGGAATGAAAACCACTCAAAAGACGGGGCTTACATTTATGACGTGACAACTGATTTTGTCCGTTGAGTATTCGTAAATGACAGCGGTTGACTGACTCCAGTTGTCGCTAACGTAACTTGCAACACCGCCTCGATTACGGACACTCGCGGGACGGTCAACCCGATACAACTTATATCTATCCAGTTGTGCAATATCACTGGGGATTTCTTCGTGCAGCCGCGATTCCTGAAGCATGATAATTTATAGGTTTTTGTACTCCTTTTTCCGTGTGATGTATACTGCATCCTCGACTTTTCCCAACAGAGAACGAACATTACTTATTAAAATGAAAAGAATTAGCATTTGACTCTTGCTGTTCTGTCTGAGAGCGACTTGTTTACCTGCTCGATGTTTTTTCCTTCTGCCGTTTTGTGTTTCGATCATTCACTTGAACTTATTTCTCACATTGTTGGAATATTTCACAAAAAGTCCAGTTCGTGCGATAACACAAAGATTTCGAGAACGTGCTCGTGTAAGATAGCTCTTGGTGTCCTTGAAATTGATAATGATGCGATTTGTTGACGAATAAATCCACAAAAAGTGTAAATATGATTATCGAGCTAAATGGCTCGGCTGAATTCAAAGGCCCCGTTTGAGCAGATGGGATGGGGAGAAGAGCTCATCATCGACTTGTTCGTTAATCATAGCTTTTATTGCAGTGTCGGTTTTGGTTTTAGACCCAACGGACACTTAACTCTATCTGGATAGAATTCGTTTATCGTTGTGCCTTGATAGACAAAAACGGCATATCTCGTCTGTTAGCAATCTGTTAATCCTTATTCACTCAGTTCCAATTTGTTTTATGCTCGATTACTGTACTGCTTTTATTACTGAAGTAACATGCAAGCTAACATCTTGAATGCCAAAACAAAGGAATGAATGGGGAAAAACATGTGCTATCTGGAAGATACACGTGGTAATTTTGAGTTAACACTGGTGCCCGAGATCCTGTTTACTTCGTCCCACGTTTCCTTTGCAACATTTGGGTCAGAAAACTAATTATTTTTTTATTACACACTTTAGTGTGATGAACAACAGACGGGCAAAGCCCCATAGTCACGAGGACCTGCTGTTCAATGATTGAAACCGGTAACCTAAGCACCGGCACTTTATGTGGATAACCACATAAAGTCAAGTCAAATCAAGAGTGCAATTTATTCGTCAAATTTGGGCAGAATTTTCAGTGAAAAGAATGTTGTGATTTTTGCTTTGACATGCACGCTATTAAAAGTGTGTTTAAAGATATGACAAATAGTTCCTTAGATGATAATGACATTGGGAACGCGTAAAAAATAAAGAAAATTTCAGCATGAAAATCTTCATTTGACTGTGTATAGGTTCGTTTGATATTCGTTCTCTGGAAACCAACAAACCCCGCTAGGTTAGAAGTTGTATTGTATTGTACCGGACGACAGGAAAGCTGCCTTTCACCAAACTTGGGTGGCATTGGCGGTGGTAACCATACACAATATGTCTCCATTGTGTTTAGCCTGTTTTCTGAAACACACATTTTCGCTGCAGTATTTTTGCTATAGTATTTTCTTTTATCCGGGATCTGTTTTGCAGCCAGCCCCGGTAGATAGTAAATGTCCTGGTGGAGAGAGGTCAAATGTCATTTATGCCGTAGAATATCATTCGAAAATTCCGTTTGAATCGTTTGTGACCAAATGAAGCTCAAAAACTTAAACTTCACTATCTATCAGCGAGGTGCCATTTGTAAGCCTTTCGCTAATAAGTTTCTGACAACCTACCAAAAGGGGCACACGCCGAACTTCACTTATTCTGGGTTCTTTCAACTTTAAACAAATGTCTTTTTACTTCAAACAGTTAATAATCCATAGGTGTTCCGGATCATTTCGAAAAATTTGGGCGTTGTG